AAAACTGAATTTAACCTATTTTCTAATCTTAGCCAAGAACTTATCAGTGTTAGACAGAGCTGCTTTTAAAGCTCTGCAATAATGTCTCATTGAAACCCTGTGACAGTAACAACCTCCACATTAAACCTAATATAATATTGTAGGGTGTCATTCCCATGCTAGCTGAATCTAGTTTAAAACTGGCACTTAGTGGGTCATTAATCTAAATTCATAAGATAAGAAACATAACAATGGAATTTAAAAACTAGTTATGACTAACATGTCTGCTGCTGGCATCAGAAGAAGGTGAAGAGAGGAAATAAGGGGAAAAAAAGACTAAAACAAACCCGTGATTCAAAGAAATATTACAAAAGTGGGCAAGGACCTCTAATCTATGAGGACAACTTGAAGGTTTCTTCATATAGAAAGCACTGAGGTGACTGTGAGCCACAAACATGTCAGTTCAAAGAGAAATTCCTGCAGCGGGGCACTAAACGGAACCAAAAACCATTTCTTGTTCTTTTTCTGACATTTTCAATAGCTCTTTAACTTCCAATGCCAAACTAGAACCACTAATTCCAAGTAAACACACACCTGTAGTTGTAATAGTTCAATGTCGCACTGAACTCACTTAACAAAGCAGCCACTTTGTGTAAGGTCCCAAATTTACCTCCTAAGAAGTGCCGTCAAAAGACAGATTTGATTCATGAACGAGCACTGATGAGCTTTATTGTTCAAGGAGACAGAGTCACAGATGGGAGATGAGATAATTTAACATAAACTTAATGGCTCCTGATGGAAACTCCTCGCTTCTGTCAGCCTCCTGCCAGGTAGGTCAGTAAGTTAACTGGGATTCTGTGTTTTGCTCAAGGGCTCTCCTCTCAGCACGGGGCCGTGAACCCACTCGCAGCCCCGCATTAAGCCAAAGTGAACTAAGCTTGTGGCATTTAAGAGGCCCAAGAAACAAATCAGAAATGAGAATGTGAAATAACCCAAAGAAAAATGAACACAAACGCAGATCTCAGATGTGACTGTTTATGAGTGTGAGTGTAGATACTTATTTCCCATCTAGGGACAAAACTATGGACACCACAAACTAACTGTTAGGGTTAAGACTGTGCTGTAGAGTCCAAAATTACAGGAACACTTTTTAACTAAGAGTATAACAACAAATCAAATACATTTCTGGGACGTTGATCTGAGCAAGTAGCAGAGGGAAGTGTTAATCTGTTTCAGCTGCTTTGATTTTTATTAAACTAACAACACCAGCAGTAGAGCGCCAACGATGAAACTCCCAGAACAGAAATGATTTTGCAGGTGGACATTTTTCCCCTTCTCATCTTTTCTGTCTGTTTTTCACTAGTTTTGAGGGTCAGTGTCACTGCTGGTAGTGGCACAGGTAGTCCAAGAAGGTGGCCTGAGGGCCTGATGTCATGTAGTTAGCCCTGTGTTCACTGCCCAGCACCTTGGAGCTTGACTGGTATTGCCAGCACCAGAAATGAAATGGAACGCTGAATATGTGTGACAAACACGAAGGGGTCTGAAGGGCAGTCTCACACTGCCTGTAACATTGTTCAGTATGACTGGTTTGTTGCTGGGGCAGGGGGGCATATCCATGGACTTATCCACAGCCTTCTGTAGGGTAGGAAACATCTTCATCTCATCCATATATTTCCTGATACCATTGTTCATATTTTGCACTCTTCCCATTGTAGAGCACTTAATGATATATGGACTGTGTTAACGTTTATTTAGTCTTGCTGCTCGATCAACTCGATTTATTAAGATCACACAGCCTCACAGATTCTCTCATTACATACTGGAGGTTTCAGGACGTAGAGAGCAGCTTAAAGCAAACACAAACAAATTGAGATGATTATCACTTCAGGTGCTCATCAAATTTTCTTCATTAACTGGTAAGTGAATGGTAAACAGACTGGTTCCTATATAGCGCTTTTCTACTCTGAGCACTCAAAGCACTTTCCACAACTTGCCTCCTTCAACCATACAGAGCCATTCATACAAGCAGCTTTTCTAAGCTTTTCTAAGCTTTTTCTATGCAAGTGCTTTCTATCTACCATGCACGCACATTCATACACTGATGGATGCATCGGAGCAACGTGGGCTTTCTAAATCTAAGCAGGTTGTTTTCTATGTATGTTTTAACCACATTGAATTTTCATGTAATCTATAAATAAAAATAGTCAAATTGTAAAGCAGCCACATTCACTGTGTTCACATGCTTTTAGGTCACAAAGTGAAAACAATATGAATATTACAAAGCAAAAGCTCAGAGTGTTTAGACAACAGCTGTTTCCAACTTATATTTAATTTACCTGAGTTATTATGAGAATCACTGGTAATAACTAACTTTTCTAACTAATCTAACAAAGTCACCTGATGTGCAGTAGAACTAAAAGACACTTAATTAGAAATTAAATGCAAGGAAAATGTAATTACAATACATTAATTTTCACAAGTTTCTTATAGTGAACATTTAAAGTAAACTAGAAATGTATCATACTAATTAAGCCTATGCCTGTGATAAAAATATTTTGTGTGTGTGTGTGTGTGTGTGTGTGCGCGCACTTGCAGAAAAATTACGAGGCTACAATGTCGTCCTTAGTCTAAAGTCTGATTTTATATGTACAAAACTATATTCCCTATTAGTTGCTTTATTCAAAAATAGATTTTATTGCTGCAGTTATATTCTCCAGGGTTTATGTCTCTGCACAGCCTAAAATGTACTTCTTAGCATACAGTGATTTAAGGCAAGGCATATACACACAATCTCCCATCATTTGAGGACTTTCAAAATGACAAACAGGCCAGACATTACATTTGCAGTACTCAGACCCCAGTCGACCGCAAACCACCCTCAGGTGTTTGGTACTATAATAATGAATCTTTTTAACTTGCAGTACCATATCTTGGAACTAAAACCTTTCTGTAACAGCAGAAGTGATAGCTAGATTTGAAGAAGCCAGTGAAGAAAAGGAGTTTCCCAGATCAAAGCAGAAATCCTTAAGGAGCGCAAAATTGGTGCAAATTGCTGTGGCATGACTTGAAACTCAACCAACCCAGAGCAGTAAAGAGGGAGAGAAAGCATCATTACATGAAAGAAAGTGGAGAGAGAGAGGGGGGAAGAGGAAATGTTAATGTGTCTGTATCTGTGTTTGGGATTTGGCTGTTTTGTATTTCTTGTGCTCTCTAGGGTTGAACCTCTACTAAATACAATGAACTGATTCTAAAATGTAGGCAAGGCATGCAATATGTTTTTGTAGTGAGTGTGTAAGAGCAGCGTATAGAGACAGGAGAAAGAGTCTTCCTACCTCGTGCAGTTTCACTCTCACTTTGTTGTAGGCTTTCAGCCAGCGAACTTTGGACGGAGAGCAGGGTGGAGGGCCATCTACGAAGAAACTGAGGACCAAGAAGAGATCAGCTTTTGGACACATAGACAAGACCGAAATCAATCAACATAAAATTAAATGTCTTCTTGGCTAAATCTGGTCAGCCAGTCATATATTTAGTTTAAAAATAATCCCTGAAAATTTGGCTGTTTTTATTCTGGCTCAACTGGTCCCAATTTAGCCCAGTTTGAGCATCGTTTTGGACACTATGTAGTCTTAATACAGATCCAGCAAAACTCATTGAAGACAATGTTGCCAGATATATTGGCTGTCTGAAAGATGAAAGGACATCTAGAAAAGTCATAGCTGTAAAGGGTTAGGGTTTGCCTCTGGAAAAGTCTTCTTTTCAACAAGTATTTATTGGGTTGGTTGTCGTCACTACTTTGTTACTAAAAGCCAATAATTCCTACTGGTATCTCACAAACGAAATGCTGTGTACAGTGATGGATATTTTGGTTAGGATTACCAGCTCAATTACTTTACATATTTTTAAAAATGACAATGCAAGACCCACATACCCATTTGTCTGACTCTTGTTATCGCAGTTGTCCAAGGTTGGTTTAGGAAGGATGTCTGAAGAGTCCTTTAAATCTTTCTTCGAACCAGGCTCTGGCAGTGCATGCACGTCCTTTTCAGCATCGTCCTCTTCTTCCTTGTTCCAGTTGGACGGCTGGTTTTGGAGAGGAGGGCGAGGCTTACTGGGGTGGCAGGACTCGACATGCCGGCGCTCTTCAGGCTCAGAGCTCAGCTGAGAGCTGACTGGGCTGAGGTTGCCTGACGAATCAAAGTGGCTGCTGTCTGGAGGGCTGTAGACAGCAACATCACAATTTAGAATACAGAGGTGATTTAGACAGAAAAATAGTATAAACGTCCAGGTTTTATTCCAAAATCAATATGGAAATCTGCAATTTACAAAATGGTAGTAAGGAACTGATTGATTGTGGACATTTTATTTGCTTTAATACTGAAAAAAAAAGTTCAGTTTGCAATAGCAGACATGATTTTGGAATGAAACATTAAAGGATCAAAGGGGAATATAAGGGTCAAAGGATACTCTTTATCATATCACAAAGAATATCACATACAACGAGGAAAACTAAGAGGGTTCAGGAAGATAAGTTGATTAAATACATTTCTGTAATAGTCAGGTCAAGAGAGGTTCCACCAGGATTGCAAAGTTGATGGTCATGAGTATGTGACTATCTGCCATCACTGGAAACTTCGTGCATTTTTGGTTGATGTGTCATTTTTACTAATTTTGCAGTCTGCTTCTCCTTGTGGCATAAGCTTTCTGCATGTTGCTATCTTTTCTGACACCACCACTCGTTAAAAATTGTGCACAACTTTTAAGAGCATGTGCAAGTTTAAAGCAATGTTGGCATGTTAGTAAATAAAAAGTTAACCTGTTTAAGTAATAGGGATAAAACTGATAAATCTCATAAGTCATCGACTCAAGGGCTGGAAGACTGAGACTCCTGGCTCTGTGCTTTAACTTGCACGATTTACTTTCTGTTGGGTGTGGGCCAAACCACTTCTCCTTGCTCCTTTTATTCCAGAGTCCAGCCTGCCTCTACGGTGTACGCTGTAATGCCATGATAAATCTATCAGTTTGATTCATATAAACAAATTGGCTAAGGTTTGGAAATAATTCAGAGAACTGCAGGGGACAGAGGAAGGAGGGGCTTTTTAACCACCTCACCAGTGGAATGGTAATAAATAAGAGCCGCCGGTTTCTTCATTCATTTTGCTTCCATCACTGTCACAAAAGCTATTACTGAGGTGGTGTAAGCACAAAATAGCTGCAGTACATTTACACTTGATGGTTAGCACTTTCTAAACATGTTATCATTTCCTGGGCCTCGATCATGTCAGATATCTGGTAACTGGTTTCCATGTATGGCTATGGAGCCATACAAGAGTTGCAGAATGAGAATGGGACTGGAGTGTCCTAATGAAAACTAATTAGGGAAAAGGGGGAAAATGGGAAAAGAAAAGCGGGAAAAGGGCTGAACATTTATCTATGCTAGCATGATAAATGAAGAATGCCATTTATCATGTACATTGCACTAGCCTTTTCATAGCTTCCTTCGTTAACTGTTCCTTTGGTTGATCCATTTCCAGTTCTGCATGCACGACATCAGGTGTGTTTATTTCACTCTTATCTAACTCACATGGGGTGACCATTAACTGAGGTGCATCCAAACTTTCTATTTGGGAAACTGAGTGCGAAGGAACACCAGACAGAGGTGACTGTGCTAAGCTGTCACAGCTTCCTGTTTTTGAAGTTTCTGTTGGTCCTTCTGTATCACTGCCATCTTCACTTTCAGTTTCTCCAGAACCTGGGGAAGGTTTGTCAGGTTCTGGATCCTCACATTCAGTAGGTTTTGGAGTTTCAGACTGAGGCTCTACGCTGACCACAGGAGGGGTGGATTCAGGTCTGGGAGAGTCAGAGTTACCAAACATTGAGGTGAGTTTCATGCCGAACACAGACGAAACAGATGCTTCCTCCTTTCCAGTTGACTTTTCATCATGGAAAATACCAGCTGAAAGGCTTTTAAAACCAGAAAATAGACCACCATCAGTTTGTTGTGTCTGAGGTGCCTTTGAAGCAGTGGCTGGAGATGTTGAGGTGGAGAAAAGGGATCCAATCGATGATGTACCTTCAGCAGCTACAGACAAAAAGCCTAATTTTGGGGCAGTGAGACCTGGAATTTCAAAGATGCCCTTGTTTTCTGGAGCTGTGGGTGGTGCTGCTTTGTCAGACACTGCAGTAACTGGCCCTTCTGAATGCACTACATGTTCATCATCCCCTGATTGTTTCTCAGTAGTTTGAATAATAGATTCAGTGAGAGAATTTCCTTCTGATTCCGTTTCTTTTTGTTCCGTCTCCTCCACCAAACCTTTTTCAGGAATTTCAGATTCTGTGCTCTTGACATGTCCATCTTCAGATAAAGGTATCTCTGGTTTTTCCGTGATTGCACAGTCTGTCACACTAGCAGAAAGCTCATCAGGTCCACACTGTGTACCAGACTGTTGAGTTTCCTCAGGTTTTGTTGTCTCGGGACCTTTGAACATACCAAGTAAGTCACTTGTAAGAGATTCTGAAGCAATACTACTTGGAAGGCCAAAAAATGAGCTTTTCTGTTGTTGCTGTTGCTGTTGCTGTTGCGGTTGTGGTGGTGGCTGACGAGGCGTAGGTGATGAACCAAAAAGTGAGGCAGCTGAACTTGAAAAAAATCCACCAACAGTTGGTGATTTACTTTGTGTATTTGGAGCAGAGAACATAGACATAAACCCAGAAAATGGAGCTGGTTCAGGTGGCTTTTGTGGCCCTGGCTGTCTTGGACCAGCCATTCTTGGCCCACTCATTCGTGGTGCTCCCATTCGCGGCCCACCCATTCTTGGTACTCCCATTCCTTGGACTTGTGGACCAAGAGGCCTGGTCATACCTGGCCTAGGTTGTTGTTGTGGTGGAGGAGTTGAAGGAGCAAGAGGTGGAATTGAGTTGGTACCAATGGTTTTTTCTTCATTTGTTGAAGAGGCCACTCCTGCCAAAGGTGAACTTTCAGATACTTTTTCTGCAGGTTCTGTAGTAGCATGCTCTAATTCTGCCTCAGTTAGTTCCTTTATTGTCTCACCAGATGTGACTTTAAAGTCTGCCAAAGGTGTACTTTCACAGACTTTATCTCCAGGTTCTGTAATAGCATGCTCTAATTTTGCCTCAGTTATTTCTTTTATTGTCTCACTAGATGTGATTTTTGAGTCTTCTTGGTCAGCTTTTTCAGAATCTGAAACTGCAGTAACTACAGACTCTGCAGTAACTGTTTCTGGTTTTTGTACCACAGAATCAACTACATTAGTATGTTCAGTGGATTTTTCCTCATCTGTCATTACCTTTTGTTCATCAGCAACTTTTTCCAGCTCACTAGTTAATTTTTCAATAACTGCCTTTGCTGTATTTTCTTCACTAGCATCTTCTGAAGTGTGCTCAGTTGATTCTTCTATTTCCAGAACAGCTTTTTGTTCAAAGCTGTCAACTTTCAAAGGCTCTTCCGTTAGTTTTTCTACATCTGCAACTACTGCAGCAACTTTCAAAGCCTCCTCAGATGTTTTTTCTATACCTGTAACACTAGTTTCATCTGCATCAGCAACCTTCAGTAGCTCCTCACTTGGTTTTTCAATCTCTGAAATTGCTAGCTCTGCATTAGTAATAGCCTTATCTTCAACTTTATTTGAACTTGGGTTCTTGTCAGTAGACTCACTAGAAACTTGCAATGCCATTTGCATAGTGTCATTTTTCTCTGAAA